GATGAGTTTTCTGATGTTGACTGAAGACTGAGTAATATTTGAAGGTCTAACCTCATTCACTGTTGAAAAAGAATAACAACCCACAATTTTCCAATGTTCACAAAGGAATGAGCTGTTACCAGTGATGTCTCAAGTCACTGGTAGTGAATCTACATTCACAGATAGCCTCCCCAGGGTGAGTTTTCTGATGTTAAGGCATGTTTTGTCTAAATGATTTCCTAGACGGGGCCCATTCACGGGGTTGCTCTTCTGATACTGGCTTTATGACTTTGGATAAGTTATTTAGGATTGCTGAGTCGCAGGTTTCTCCTCTGAAAAAGTGGAAATATTACTAGAATAATATAATACCATAATGTGTGTGAAGGATGGGGCACAGCACTTCGCTCACACGGAGAACTTTATGCACGGAGGACATGGTGCTTGGCGGGTGTCTCTGACTGGCTGTACTGTGGGTTTTGGCGGCAGGGACCATGAATTGTTTATGTTACTGCCCCAGAACCTGGCAGTGGAATGGGCTGTGTGAATGTGGGTAAGTAAGAAGCAAGCGGGAGAGCCATTGATCAAAGCGGAGCAGACGCCTGTCTTGGGTATGTCACTTGTAGCCCTGATTCAGCCTGGTGGTGGCTGGGACCATGCCCCTGTGAGGCATTCTCTAAGCCCAAGCCCCATTGATCCTGACAGCCAAAGAGGACTGTAGGCAGAAGAGATGCCTGGAGTTCACTTACCTAGAGAAAAAGATCATTGCCAACCACCATCTATTTAAACTTCATCCATTCTCACTTTTGACAAATTCTGTCTTAGAACATTTATTCAACAACGTTCAACCTGTGTTTATTTATTGAGTACCTACTGGGCCCCAGGCACCATGCGATAACACAAATAAAATCTCTTTTTTCATTGAAGTGATGTAAGTGAAGCAGAGGGCGAGTAAACAGACCACTGCAAAGTCTGAGAAATGCTGTGACTGGGGCACACAGTGTGAAGTAGTTGGAGGGCACCTAACCCCGTCTTGGGGGAAGTCAGGGAAGGCTGCCTGGAAGAGGAGAGAGCTGAGCAGAAACCTCTAATAGCTGACACTGCAGGCCTGGGGAGAGATGTGGACTCTGGGCTGTACAATTGCAGAGCCAGAGATTTGTATTTATACAAATCTGTAGGATCTGTATTTCTCTACTTTACTTTCAACATTTTTTCCAGACTCTCTTTTCTCCAAGACTTGAGACATAGTTTGTGAGGGAAGCTCTGGTCACTTTATAATGTAATGTATGCTTATTGTACAAAATGGAAAAATAAGATATAAAAAAGTAGTGGGTGTGTCAAGGGAGGGAGTCTCTGTCAACCCCTGTTAGTATTTAGGCACATGTGCTCTCCTTTCATTCATTTTGTAGGGGTTTGTTTTTAGCTTCATTTTTCAAAATTGACATATAATTTACATGCCATAATAGTCACAGTTTTAGTGAATACCACAATAGTCGCAGTTTTAGTTTGTTCACAAGGCTGTATAACGATCACCACTATCTAATTCCAGAACATTTTCATCCCCCCAAACAGAAACTCCTCTCCATTAGCAATCACCTCTGATTTTCCCCTTCCACCAGCCCCTGGTAACTACTAATCTGCTTTTTGTCTCTAGGTACTTTCCTATTCTGGACATTTCATATAAATGGAATCAAACAATGTATGGTCTTTTGTGATTGGCTTCTGTCACTCAGTGTTTTCAAGGTTTATCCATGTTGTAGCATGGATTAGTACCTCATCTCTTTTTGTGATTGAATAATATTCCATTGTATAAATATCACATTTAAAAATACATTCATCAATTGATTGATATTTACTTTTTAATCTTTTATGACTTATGGATAACGCTGCTATCAATATTTATGTACCCATTTTTGTATGAACATCTGTTTCCAGTTCTCTTGGATATATACCTGGGAATGGAATTACTGGGTCCTATGTTAACTGTTACATTTAACTTTTAGGTGAACTGCCAGGCTGTTTCCACAATGACTCCACCACAATTACATTACCACCAGCAACATGTGAGGGTTCTAGTTTCTCTACATCCTTGACTACACTTATTATTATCCTTTTTTAATTATAGCTATTCCAGGTATTAAGTATCTCACTGTGGCTTTGATTTGCTTTTCCTCAGTGACTAATGATGTTGAACATCATTTCATGTGCTTATTGGCCACTTGTATGTCTTCTTTGGAGAAATGTCTATTCAAACCCATTGTCTATTTCTAATTGGGTTATTCGCCTGTTTATTATTGAGTAAAAATAAGGTCTTTATGTATCCTGGAACTAGACTTATCAGATACATGATTTGAAAACATTTTCTCCATTCTGTGGGTTATCTTTTCTTTATTTATTTTTTATCCTCACATGAGAACATTTTTTCACCGCTTTTAGAGAGAGAGGAAGGAAGAGAGAGAGAGATCGATTGGTTGCCTACCATACACACCTGGACCGAGGATTGTCCGTACCCAAAAGGGGGATTGAACCTGCAATCTAGGTATATGCGCTGACCGGAAATGGAATCCATAGCCTTTTGGTTACGGGACTATGCTCCAACCAACTGAGCCACACTGGCCGTGACTATGGGTTGTCTTTTCACTTTCTTAACAGTGACCTTTGCAGCTCAAAGTTTTAATTTTAATGAAGACAGTTTTATCTATTTTTTTCCTTTAGTTGCCTGTGCTTTTGGTGTCATATTTAAGAAACCATTGCCTAATTCAAGGCCATGTTTTCTTCTAAGAGTTTTAGGTCTTTGATCCATTCTGAGTTAATTTTTGTACACCGCGTGAGGTAGGGGATCTAACTTCATTCTTTTGCATATGGGTATCCAATTGTGCCAGCAGCATTCGTTGAAAGACATTTTTTTCCCGATTGATTTGTCTTAGCTCCCTTGTCAAAAATCAATTGACCATAAATATATAGGTTTATTTCTGGATTCTCAATTCTGTTCCATTGATCTGTATGTCTATATTTATGTCAGTATCATACAGTCCTGATTGGTATAACCTGTGGTAAGTTATGAATTCAGGAGTATGAGTTCTCCAACTTTTTTTCCCCTTTTTTTTTTTTTTTTTTTGCCCCATGAGTTCCATTTTTCTTTCAAGTTTGTTTTGGCTATTCTGGGTTCTTTGTATTCCCACCTGAATTTTAGGATTCAACCTACCGACTTCTGAAGAAAAGCCGATGGAGATTTTGATAGAGATTGCACTGACTCTGTAGATCAATTTGAGGAGTATTATTATTATTATTTCTTCTTTTGGTGTTTATTGAGTACAGATTGAGCTCATGCCAAATATGTTATTTTGAGTCCTGATTTATTCTGCTTAATATTCTTTCATAGGCATTTCCCTGTGTTAAGAAAGATATAAGCATAATTTCACTACTATATAATATTCCACCATATGGCTGTACCACAGGATTATAAACTCTTGGTTGTTGGGTAGTCTATCATGGAAGTGCTTTGTGCTGGCCTCTTGTGGTGCAGGTTTCTTCCTACAGGCCCAAATGGACCCTGGGAGGACTGATGGCTCACAGAACAGCAGCAGAATGTTAGCGTGAAGTTGATCAGTAGGTACCCCACACTGCAAGTGGAGCCTGGGGCTCCCTGGAGAAACCACCGTTCTGGCTAATGGAGAGTTGACCTGCTGGCCAGCCTGCCTGGCGGCACCACCCTGACGGATTGGGATCAGGAAACAGGGTCCAGTGGGTTTGCAGGCACCGATGGAGCATGCTTGTTTTAGGCATGTTCGTAAGCATTAAAAAATTTGAAGCATGAAATTCATAGAACAGTGTAACTCAGTTCTCCTAAAGTGAAAGTTTCACTAAGTCATACTTACTTTTTGTATCAACCAGGAGAAGCTGGTCTGCTGCAAAAACAAACAACCCTCAAATCTCAGTGGTGCTAGAACTTTCTTTTTCCTTCATGTTGCAAGTCTATCATGTAGCAGGAGTGCCCTGGGATTTAGATCACTGGAGGCTTCCCCACCCAGATCATTGCTACTTTCTGTGGCAAAGAAAAGAGGGTGTGGTAGGCCAAAGGATGGCCCCCCAAAGATGTCTACACCCTAATTCTTGGAGCCTTTGAAGATATTATATTACATAGCCAAGGGGAATTATAGTTGCAGAGGAAGCTAAGGTTACTAATCAGTTGACCTTAAAATAGGGCACTAAATGTATTCATAAGGCTCTTTAAAAGTAGAAGAGGGAGGCAGAAAAGATCAGAGTGATGCAGTATAATAAGAACTCAACCTGCTGTTGCTGGCTTTGAAGATAGAGGAAGAGGCTTTGGAACAAGGGATGTGGGTGCCCTAGAAGCTGGAAAGAGCAAGGAAACGAATTTGTCCCTAGAGCCTGTGGAGAGTGCCAACATCTTGATTTTGACCCAGTGAGGTACATTTCAAACTTCTGAACCACAAAACTGTAAGATAAGGTTATGTTGCTTTAAGCCATAAGTTCTTGGTCATTTGTTCTAGGCTCCAAGGAAAACTAATACAACAGGCATGGGGAATCATGTACCAGCCCTTAGATGCTCTGCCTAGAAATGACATGTGGCGCTTCTACTCATATTTCATCGGCTGGAGCAAACCCCATGGGCATGCCTGATGTCATGGGACTAGAGAAATTTGCCCAGCCTTAGAGGGGAATGGAGTGTTGGTAAATATAGTAGTATCTACTGTACCCTTGCTCTCTGTGCCTCATACTTCTATCTCCTATTCCATTAAAAATACAAGTGCTGGTGGCAGTTCTTTAAATTGATTTCATTATCAACTAATGGGTTGTGGCCCCTACTTTGAAAAACATTGCTCTATAGACTCTTTTCTGCCCATGTGTCATGGGCCACATGACACACTCTAGGCAGAGTTGATTGGCTCAGGCGTGGGACACCTGACCGAAGTTGACCAATGAAATTCCTCTCCTGGGACTTTGGAATTGGGCCACACAGCAATTAACAGTGGGAAGCTGAGGGAGAGGCAGAATAGAAAGAGGGTCAGAGTGAGAGCCAGATGCAAGCCAAAACGATGGAGGTGCAGAAAAGCCCTGAGTAAGCAGAGAGAGATGGTCCACAAAGACAATGGAGCGGCCGCACAGAGAGCAGTGCAGCCGGCAGAACATGCGGCCCCAGAGGGAGAGGTGGAGAGAGCGAGCAACTGTCTGAGAGGCTGATGGCTTCCCTGTTCCTGGCTCCAGCCCCAGTGCATCCTGCCTGCGCATCCTTTCCGTGAGATTTTTGTCTCCTTATCGTGCCCCCTCCTCCTCCTTTTCTTGAATGACCCTCGGTGGGTTTCTGTTTCTTGTCTCCAGGGAGCCTCAGCCAGCTACACCACCACCGGTACTTCCTACGTGGGACCTGGCTTTGACTCTGAGAATCAGGCTTGTGGGGCATGGACGGGACTCAGGGGGAACCAGATCCAGCCACCACCCCACAGCCTGGAAGTTTGGCTTTGACCACAGTCTTGTGCGTTTGTGCTTGCTCTTCAAAGTGGATGGGCAGAGGCCATCGGTGTGGGGCTTCACATGTGGGGGGTCCCGGTGACCTGGAAGCACCCCCGCAGGGGCCTTTTTGCTGACACCTTTGGGGCCGGGAAGCTGGTGGAGTGGCTTCAGGGAGGGCCGGCTGTGCGGCTGAGTGGAAAGGCAGCCGCAGTCTGTCTGCCTGACCCTCCATTTCCTCATCTCTGCAATGGGATTGTTGAAGGCTCAGCAGTGTTCTGGGAAAAGTACTTTGAGACATGACTAGGGCATACCGTGCTCTCTCAGATCACGGGCAACTGCTGTTGTTGTGTGAGGAAGCCACCAGCGGCCCAGCTTCCTGAGGAGGTGGCCCCGGGGGCTGACAGTGTCAGAGCCTTCCCCACGGCCTGCCGTGCTTCCTGCTTCTGTCACCCTGCTCTCCTCTCACCCCTTCGCTGGGCCTGTCATTTCTTCCTCTTCCCCTCCGCTCTCTTGCCCTCACTTCCCTTCCTTTCTGTTCCCGATCTCGATGAAAACACCTGCTCTAGGAAAGCAGCAGGGCTGGACATAAAGTAGCTTCTGGAGGCAGACAGGCAGAACTGTGTCTGAATCCCGACATTGTCCCTTGCTGTGCATTCCTGGGCAAGTTACTACATCTCTCTGAACTCCTAGTTATGAACTAGGGGTTGGAATGACCATTTTTCAGTGCTAATAGGAGAAAAAAGGAGGCACTTAACAAAGGCTAGTTCCTTCTTAACTCCCTTCCTCCCTCCTGTTTTGATTATCACTCTTTCAGCCTGCCCCCAGCCCCCTCCTGTGAACAGGGTGCCACTTGTCCCTTCCAGGGATCTCTGGTCTCCTCTGCAGACACAGCACCCAGCTTGGTAGCTGCTGGTTCCAACCATGTGATGTGTTTCTTTTTTTTCTCACTTTAGCAATTATTACACTCCAGCTGACAGTGGCATCTTCACACTCCAAACACTAATAAATATTTATAAGGAGAAAAGCTCAGAGCCCCTAGGGGATGTCGGGGAGGAATGTGCTAGGCCCTTCTTTGCAAGCCAAGCCCAGGCCCATCAGTGGTCTCTTGGGCCCTGGGAAAAAGGGGTAGGTGTGTGGGGCACTGTGGAGGCAACACAGAGCCACCTCCCACCCCCCTTCTTGGAGGAAGGACTGTCGCGACACTGTTGGCCTCCTCCTGCCTTGCCCTGGCTGCCTGCGGGGCCTCCTGCTCCTGGGGAAGGATTTGGGCTCTGTGATCCCTCGCGGCTGAGTGCGGGCCTGCGCCATGGCCCTGTGTCGCCTCCATGCCTGCTTCTGACTGTTTCTCTCTCCCTCTTTTTGTTTTTTTACTTGTTTGTTTCTTCATCTCCAATTCCATCTTTTATTTCCACAGCTTCCGGGCCGAGTCCCTCTCATGTCCTCGCCCTCCTCCAGCACCTTTGCTTCTCCCCTGGGTCTCTGTCTCTCTCATTCACTCATCTCCTCTCCCTCCCAATATCACCGAGCATTTCTGGGGCTCAACAATGGGGGATAGGCGAGGGGGCCTCCAGCCCCCGGACCCAGCTTAGGGGAGAGGACCGGGGAGCTGCTGCAGCCTGCAGTGTGCTCTGGAAGGCAGAGCGAGCCCATGGCGGGAGCCGGCGGCCAGGCCTCTGCCTGACTCTACAACCAGAGACTGGCTATGTGGCCACCGGCATGTCCCCTCCCTTTCCTGGGCCTCAGTTTCTCAGCTGCTGATTCCTTCACTGATTCATTCATTCACCCACTCAACTAATATTTATGGAGTCCTTGCTACTTGGCATTCATTCATGCATGTATTGAATACCTACTAGATGCACCCTTCTGGGCACTGGGGATACATCAGTGGAGAAGAGAGACAAAGACTCCAGTTCTTGTGGAGCTGACCTGTTAGCAGAGTAGACAGGCATAGCTGTAATCAGTGATTATGTCGTAGGTTAGAAAGCGAGAGTGCGGTGGGAAAAGAGAAGTAGAGCGAGAGAAGGAGTGAGTGTGGGGAGGGACACAGGGTGAAGACCCCTCACTGATTGCTGGGCAAGCAGACCTGTGGGGGGTGTCCCAGGGAGGGGGCTGCTAGAGCAAAGGCCCTGAGGCAGGAGCCACCCTGGAGCGCTGGAGGACCGGCAAGGAGGCCCTGGGGCTGGAGGACTGAGGGAGGAAGCGGGGGTGATGCTGGGAGGGAGAGGAGGCAGAGCAGACACACAGACCAAGGCTTGTCCTCTGTGTGAACCAGGCGGAGTTTGAGCAAGTGAGCGCCATGGTCTGACTTATATCTTGAAAGGCTCCCTCCACCTGCTGGTTGAACAATAGACTAAGGGGGGCCATGGCCAGGGCCCAGGAGACCTGCAGTGGCAATAAGGGGACCTTGGGGGGGGGGGGGGGCGCAGTGGTGGAAACGGGTGAGATCTGATCAGGCTGGGCACTGTCCCAGCTCTGACGGCCTAGAAGGTGCCTGCAAAACCACTCCAGGCCCCTCGTCCTCAGCCCTGCTGAGGGAAGGCCTGCAGGAGACTTCCCCTGGGTGCCACATGCTAACCCTGGCCTTCCCTCTCTTTCCCTCCACAGGGTGTTCAAGAAGGCGAGCCCAAATGGGAAGGTGAGTCTATAAGAGCTGCACCCCAGCTCCTGCCTGACCCCAAACTCTTGTCCTCTCTGGGGCATGTCTACTGACCACGCAGGACCCCACGCACTCCCATCTGAGGCTGTTAGGAGTCGTCCAAGGGCGGGGGTGGGGGAGGGGAGCTCAGGAAACTAGCTCTCTGAGGTTAGGGTAGAACAGCCCTCCTGAACTTGAGGGAGCCCCTGCTCTGGTGTGGGGGTGCACAACTAGCACAGAGAGACCTCGATGTGAGTGCAGGAATTGGAGTGAGTGCCAAGGGCCTCAGGGGCCCTGCCTCCCCTGGTGCGAGAGGCCCCTGGAGCCTCGGTGCTGAGCCAGGCATCCTCGCGTTGTCGGGGCCTGCTCCGCTGGCTCGCCTCGCGCAGGCCCAGGCTCCATCCTGCATTCCTCTCAGTTCAGCGCGTAGATGTTACTGACATCAGTCACGTCAGGCCCTGGCGAGTGGGTGGGGAGTGGGGTAGGCTGTACTGAGATAACGAAGGCACAGTCCCTGCCACTCACAGTCAGACGGGGCAGGCAGACATGGAAAGCGACCATTTCCATTTAAAGTGACAGGTGAGAGACAGAGGGCTGCTCGGGGGCTGTACGACCCAGCCTGGTGTGTGTTTCCAGGCAAGGCATAGTCAAAAGGGCGTTCTGGGCTCACACAGAAATCACAGGAAGTGAGTCTGGGAGTGGGGCGAGGGGTCACATCAGTTGCATCTGAATGCCCAGCTGAGGAGGTAGGAGCTGCCGTCTGGTGGTGGGCATAGGGGCTTGGACTCCTGGCCTGGGCTGGCAAGTGGCACCGCGTGAGCTCCGACAGCAAACATCACCAGTCACCTCTCCTGCTGAGCCAGGATTCCATCCTAGCTTCCTCCTGAGCTCCGGCCAATCAATCATAGTTGGCATTTGGAATGAAACCCATTTGTCATCTTACCTCTGGGCACTGAGGAGCCATTAAAGGGTTTTCAGATGGGAATAGCACCATTAGATTAGCATTTTAGGAGGGCCAGTCTGGCTAAGGAGAGGGTGGACTGAGGACTATGATGGAGGGACCCATCAGGATTTAGGGACTGTGGAGGAGCAGGCGTCTAAGCTGACCCTCTGGATTCTAGCTCAGGGTCTTCCCTGAAGGCTAGCTATGGAGCAGAGCTCCAGCCCGGCTTCCTCTCTGCTCGGAACGCTGGCCCCCACAGGAGGGGGCTTCGGCTAGACTCTGCGGAACCCAGGGTTCAGAGCTTCACCCCAGGGCCCCGACTCTCGGTTTCTCTGGCATCTCAGAGATGCGCCCAGGACTCCTGCTCAGCAGGCCCCTTTGCTGCTGCAGCTGCCCCGCCCTCAGCGATGCTTCACGAGGAGATTTCTCCAGGGCTGTGTCCTCATCTGTAAAATGGAAACAAGAGCAACTTCGTCACAGGGGTGTGGAATGAACAGGAGCTTTCAAAAATCTTACAAGGGTTTGTTATTCTTAGCGTCGGGGCTGGGGTTCAGGTCCAAGGCCAGGTGGATTTCACTGAGGGTTAGGGATGAGTCTGGAGTTTCAGGGACAGCTTCCAAGGTCTTCTCCAAGGCAAGGGCCAGTGGCTTTTCAGGAGTGTGCTCTCGGGGCCCACAGCTGCTAACACCACCCTGTGCCTCTCCTCCCCAGCTCACCGTCTATCTGGGAAAGCGGGACTTTGTGGACCACATTGACCTCGTGGACCCTGTGGGTGAGTCCTTGGAGGCCGGGGAGGAAGGCAATGGGGGAGGCGGGGCTGGCCCGGCCTCTTCCAGAGAACAATGTGTTGAAGTAGCCCAGGAATAGCCATCAGGCCTCTGGTGCCACACACGGGGTGTGAGAGGCTTCTTGCTTCAGTCAGCACACATTTACTCAGCTGCTTTCCCCCCCTTAGCTGAGGGTTAAGTGAGAAGGATGGAGGTGAGAATCAGGGAAGGAATCCTGCTGATAATGAGGAGGATGAGGACAACGAAGACAGCAGCTGCCCCCCACTCTAAGGCTTACAGCACATATTGGGGGTGGCTGCTGTTATTATCCCTGCTTCACAGAGGTGATGAGCCCCAGAAAGGTTACGGGACTTGCTGCAGGTCACAGAGCTAGTAGGTCAGGGAGCTTGGATTCAAACCCGGGCAGCCTGGCTCTACAGAACCTGTGTTCTGCTGCCTCCTGATGGCAACAGCTGGGAGATGGAAGGAAAACAGCTGGGGCATGGAAGGTGGAGGCTGTTCTCACGGGCCTGCGGGTCCTCCGGAGGCTGGCGCACCTTTCCCAGGCCCTGTTCTCATTCAGGGTTTCTCAGCCTCAGCACTCCTGACGTGGAAGACTGGGTATTACATTGCCGTTGGTGCTTTCTTGTGCATTGTAGGTATTTAGCAGTATCCATGGCCTCTACCCATTAGATCCCATCCCCGTGTGACAAAAAATGTTTTTAGATAGTGCCAAATGTCCCCTTGGAAGGCACCTTCCCCCCCTGGTTAGGATTCTAAAAACCACAGCTCTGTTTAGAAGAGCTTGATCAGTTCATTGCCTCTTCCCACACCTGCTGGAGGGAGGCAGGCCCCAAATTACCCCTATTGTACCTACGGGGATGATGAGACCCAGAGAAGTTAGATGATTTTTTTAGAGAGAGGCTTGAAAAACTAAAGCAAGGCTAGTGGAGGTGGCAGGTCGGGGGTGGGGTGCGGCGGAAGGATGGGCACTGGAAACTGCAAGAGACCAAGTCCAGGTGAAGAAACTGGGATGTGTTTGGGGAACAATTCACGGCTGTTGTGGCCTCTGTCATCACACCCCTGCGCGGAGGTTGGGGGGTCCTGAGGCCAGACGGGCCGGAGCGGGCCGAGCGCGGGGCGACAGAGCCAAGATGGGAGCAGAGCACAGCAGTGGTTTCAGCTCTCTGAGAGGAAGACCTTCGTGACATTGGGACAGGAAACCCGGGAGTCCCTGGGTCGGGAGGGGTGTGAGCAGGGCCCGAGGCTGCAGAGAGACCAGCTGCCATCCAGGCCCCTTCCTTGCCCAGAGCACAATGACCCCACTCTTCCTCCCCGCCCCTGTCTGCGGACTCTGTTTGGTGTCCTCTGAAGCTCAATGACCTCTCCTCTGCCCTTCGCATCTCCTCCCTGAACTGGCTCTTCAGAGGCTGTGGGCGAGCCTTCCAGTGCTCACCTGTGGCCTCCTTCGAGGGGCTGTTTCCAACCCATTGGCCTACTAAGAACCAGAGTAGAGTGGTGCTGAGGCTGGGGGAGGGGCGGCAGCAGGAGGGAACCAGCTCCCCACTCCCCAGCACACCGGGCACCTGAGAGTTGTGGGGCAAGTGTTCCCAAGAGCACCCGCTCCATGGCAGGCCCTGTGCTGGGCTCCGGGGGTCCCAGGGAACTGCCTTGGTCATCTCTTGATGACCCCTTCTTGCCTGGTAAGACCTGGTTATAGCTCCCCTCCTCCAGGGAGCCTTCCTGATGCCTCTGGCTGGAAGGAGTGTCCTCACTGGGACGTCTCCTCGCTGATTGTCCACTGAGCCCTGGTGTCTGGCCCAGAAGGAACACCCTCTGTGAGAGGAGGGAAGGTGTACAGAGGCCCTGGGAGTGGGGGGCACTTCCCCAACCACCTGCCCCTTGGACCTGCCCGGCATTGAGGTAGGAACCAGGGCCCTCTGGGTACTCGCTTCCGGATGTGGCCTCTGAGAGTCCCTGAGAGGTCAGCTGTGGGGGCAGCGTGGAGGTTAGGGTGTGGGCAGAGAGAGTTTTGCTTGTTCAGTGCATATGGCTGGGTCAGGCTTGGACACAGACGACTGGGGATGTCGGGCAAAGAGGTGACCGGGAATCAGAGTCTCTGGTCTCCTAGGGTTCCGGGCAGAGATGAAGGCCTTTGTGCCTGGCTGGACTCCACCCTCCCAAGGCCAGGACTTGGGACGTTCTCCGTGGTGTCACACGCCAAGCCGCATCCAGTGCTTTAACGTATGAACTCACTCAGTCCTGGCAGGAGCCCATGAGGCAGGCACGGCAGGGTCCCTGACCCGGCTCTGCAAATCCCACATCCAAGGGCTCTGAAAGTCTAAAACTGTTCATAGGCTTGGCGCAGGATGAGAAGGCTGTTTGGGCCTCGCGGGTACTTCCCAGCAGAGGCAGCAGTGGCCTGATCATGGCGCGCTGCACGGCCTGCAGGGGGCGTTGCAGGAGACACGGAAGAGGGACCCGATGGCCCACCTGCAATTCAAAACTTCTAAATTCTAAATTATACCCGACAATAGGGGGTTTGGACCCATATTATCATCATGACAGATAAACAGGAGTAACCCGCCAGAAGTCACGAGCTGGGCCTGTAGGGCCAGCCGGTGGGAGGGGGTGTATGGCGGTGCCATCCCCTCGATGCCGGCCTCCCCGTTTCTCTCATGGTGCTCCTGGATGGAGAGATGGTTGGGGTTGGGTTTGGCTTTCGGTTTTGCTTGATGTTCAGGGCTTGGACGTGTGAGAGGTCAAATTGGGAGGTTCACTCAACTCTCTGTCCTCCCTCCAGACGGTGTGGTCCTGGTGGATCCTGAGTATCTCAAGGAGAGGAGAGGTGAGGCCCCCGCCCCCAGCCTGTCCGGGGCTTCCTCTTTCCCCTCCAACCTCCAGCCTAGGCCTCCTTGACTCCCAGGCAGGACAGCAGCCAATCACATTGCCTTTCCCTCCCCACCGCCCCTCTTCCCTCCACAGCCCCAATGCACATCAGGGCAGGAGCCCCGGAGTCCTCTGGCCTGGGGCAGCTCTGCCCCATGCCCACTGGGGAGAACCATTTTAATGCCTTGAGCACTTTCACATCGATGTGTAATGACAGTCCCTAGGCTGGGTTGCAAAAAGGGCAGAAGTTAGAGTCTCATTTTACAGAAGAGACAATTGATTGCTGGGGAGGTGAAGGGATTGTCCAAGGTCAGTGGGAAGACAGGAGGCAGGGGGTAGATGGGGTAAGACCCCAGGCCTTCTGGAGACCACCGAGCCGTGCCCTGCCCACACGCCCTGGCTCGAGTGGGGTGGGGGTGGGGAAGGGCAGACCTGGTCCGGCAGTCAGCCCCGCCCTCCCCCAGGCGCCAGGCTGCAGGCGGCTCTCCCCGTGGCCAATGCCCCGTCCCAAGGGCAGTGCAGGCCTCTCCACGGGAACTTTGGGACAGACCTGTGGCCCCGGTTGGGTCAATCTCAGGGCTGTAGCTGCGGTTGTGGGGGCTTGCATGGCGCCCTCCAAGGCCCCTCCTCAGTGCCCCCTGCACCCACAGTCTATGTGACACTGACCTGCGCCTTCCGCTACGGCCGAGAGGACCTGGATGTCCTGGGCCTGACCTTTCGCAAGGACCTGTTTGTGGCCAATGTGCAGTCCTTCCCACCAGCCCCTGAGGACAAGAAGCCCCTGACACGGCTCCAGGAGCGCCTCATCAAGAAGCTGGGTGAACACGCCTACCCGTTCACCTTTGAGGTCAGGAACTGCCGGCCCCTGGGGCCCCATTCCAGAAGCGCCACCTGTAGGAAGCCCTCTGGGCGGGCACATGGGGGCAGCTGGGGCTGCAGCTCCCCATCTCCTAGTTTCCCAGTGCTATGTTGGGACCTGGGGCACTGTCACGCGGCCCAGGAAGTGTCTCTTGTCTGGCCTCTGCCGGGGGTCGCCCTTACCTCTGAGCCACTCCTCAGACCCTCCCGAGTCCAGGTCACTGGTGGGAGAAAGAAGGTATGGGGGGCTGCAGAGAAAGGAGCCCGTTCTTTCCCCTGGGTCACTGTGGGGCTGTCTCCTCTCTCAGACTGGGCGCCCACTGGCTCAGCTTCAGCCCAGCTCTAGCCCAGCTCACAGGGGGAAGATGGCAAGTAGTCGATTTCCCTGCTCTGCCAACTTCCTTTCCGAGACTCCAAGATTCTGCGCTTTAAAATGTCCTGTTTCTTAGACTCTGACACTGCGATGAAGTGAACTCTCCTTGCTCCCTTGGAGGGGTAGAGAGAGGGAGGGGGTGCAGTTCATCCGCTCCTTCATGAATGCACTGGTTTTCCGTGGCTGTGGTAACAGCCCACCACAAATGTGGTGGCAGTAAAACCTGCCAATTAAAGTGTAGATGTATTACCTTAAAGTTCTGGAGGTCAGAGGTCAGAAACGGGCCTCACTGGACGAAAATCAGGGTGTCAGCAGGCTCCGTTCTTTCTGGGGGAGCATCTTGCTTCCTTGCCTTTTCCTGTTTCTAAAGGCGGCTCACATTTTTGCTCGTAGCCTATAACCCCTTCCACCTGCCTGCCTCAGTCTTTCTCACACCCCGCCTATGATGCTGACTCTTCTGCTTCCTGCTTTCACTGCTAAGGACCCTCATGGGTACCTCTGGCCCTCCTGGATCGTTCAGGACAGTCTCGGCATCCCCAAATCCTTAATCACACCCAGAAAGTCCCTTTCCCATGTAAGGCAACACCATCATAGGTCTTGGGGGTTAGGATGTAGACATCTTTGGGGCCGTTATTCTGCCCACGACAGTAGACATCATGGCAAGATCTTTTTCAGCTGTTGTTCTGTGAGGACTGGGCTAGGCTAAACCTTTTAGGTGAAGAAACACACTGTGGTCGTTGGCTTTACTGGAGGTGCCTTTGGCCCCATGTGGGGCGTGGCTTGGTCTGGTTTGATGGGGGAGACACGTGGTCTGCGCTCTGGAGCCCCAAATCTGCTTGAGGAGACATGTCCCGTGGTCTGATGAATGTGCATGGGGGGAGGAGGGGAGACATGGGGAAGTAAGTTGTGAATGTGACAGGAGGCTCATTCTCTCTGTCCTCTCAACAGATCCCTCCGAACCTCCCATGCTCAGTGACATTGCAACCAGGGCCTGAAGACACAGGGAAGGTGGGTTGCCCCAAAGGGAGCATCTCTCTGACTACAAGACACTTGCATCTCCTGGTCCCTGGCTTCCTCTCCAGGAGGCTCTAGAGCTGCACCCCCCTCCCCCCTTTCCCCCTTAGAAACCTTCCTCTGTCGAGGCCAATTTAATCTGTCTGTTCATAGAGAGGGCAGCAGATACGGTATCGTCGTTACCCCACATTCAGTTATGTGTCCAAGGCTCTCTCAAGTCTCTTACTGACGTTGGTGTCGGCTGCAACAGGACCAAAATGTTCTCTGGATGACTACCTGGACTCACCCCTCATATGGAGGTGCAATCATTTCATAGGTGGGGAAACTGAGGCTCAGAGAGAAGTGACCCCACTAGTGTCACAGGCCCCTGATCTCTGAGCCCCAATTTCCTCACCTGTGAAATGGAGATAACAGGATGAGCCTCCTCGTGTGGTGAGAGGGTGAGCGAGAGGCTGACGCGGTGCACCCAGTGCCTGCTCTGCACGCAGGAGGCTGCTGAGGCTCCTCTGGTTGTGTCCGGGCAGCTGCCTTGGTGGGGATGACCACCAGGCGAGGCAGGAGTCCATAGAATAGAGCCCCATTACGGTGGTTTGGGATGGCCCGTGTTGGGGGAGCAGGGGAGCAGCTCTATGGGAAGGTCAGATGGGGGAGGCGGCCACAGAGGGAAGCAGCACAGCCCTGGGCTGAGCACAGGGCCCCTGAGTCAGACCGAGCGTCTGTCAGGCTGTGGGAGTTTGGGGTTCCGTTCCAGCATCCTCGTTTGTAAAATGAGAGGGTGGCTGGCAGCGCTCTTGGGACTCTGCCCACTCCAAGGCCCTGTGGTCAGCCACCCCTTCCCCCCAGGCCTGCGGTGTGGACTATGAAGTCAAAGCCTTCTGTGCAGAGAACCTGGAGGAGAAGATCCACAAGCGGTGAGAGGGGCGCAGCTTCCGGCTCGGGTGCGGGCTGCCTGCTGGCAGAGAGAGGGAGACAGGCCAGGCCTAGGCAGAAGAAGAGATAAGTAACAATAGCTGGAAGTGTTTGAGGAGGGGCTACACATTCCAGCCTTAGGAAGTCCGAGAAGGGCACTCTGGAAGACTGGCAGGTCATGGAGGGCTTCCTGGGGAGGTGGCTTAATTACCCTGGCTCAGGCCTCGGCATTTTTTCCTTTACACCATTGTACCTGCTTCTTCCTGTCTCCCTGCCTCTAGTCTCTCCCCTCCAGACTGCATGTCTTTTTACTTTGTTTTGCAAAACAACAACAACAAAACCCCAAACTGAGATTGTGTTAAACAGTGAGCTAGTTGCCCAGGCCATCCTAGACCCTATTTCCCAGTTCTCTTCCTGGGAGGCTGTCAGCAGCAAGTAGTGGTAGTAGCGGGTGTCAATGGAGGCTTCTAAGCAAGGCAGGGAAGTGGAGAAAGCAAACCCACCCAGGGGAGAAGGAGGGGGAGGTCAGCTCATGTCTTAAAGAAGGGAAGTGTTCTCTAGGAGAGGCACAGCCCTGGGCAGACCGAGAGCCCAAGGCAGCCCAAAATAGCTGGCCTTGACCTCTGGGGTGGGTCGCCTCAGCCCCCAACTCAGATCCGCCCTGCCTAGGGACAGTTCCTGCGGGAGGCTGGTTGAGGGCCCTGCAATCTCTTAGGGAGTGGGCTGAGTCTGCCACCTGGTGGCCCCAAGATGTATTGCAGGTATCTCTATCTGCAGCCCGGGCTGCTTGTGTGTGCGGTGTGGGGGACCCTTTTCCCTTGCTTCTCTGTCCCCCATTTTTTCTTAAGGTCTGAGGCGGAGATTGTGGGTTTTGGGGGTGGAACCTGATCAGAGCAAGGAAGAGGAAAAAAATTGAGAGCACCACCCTCACCTCACCACCGATGGGACATTTTAAGTCGTCACCAGAGTTACTACTAATAATGATAAAGCAACTATCATTTATCAGAGATTTATTAAGTGCTGGACAGTATTCAAAGTTATGAGCATGTATGAACTAATTTAATCCTCAAAGCTACCCTAAAAAGTTGGTCCTGCTACTGTTACTGTTTTACAGAGGAGCCAGAGAGGTGAATTTACTCAAGGTCATAAGTTAGTAAAGGAGGAGCCGGGACTTTACCTTGGCCATCCAGCTCCAGGGAGTGAAGGCAGCTTATCTGACGAATAGGGATGCCAGCTTACCCAGCATGCCATGGGGACCGCCTCACTGAGGCCCGCTCCCTCCCTGCCCTGTTTCTCCCTGAGCCCTTGCCACTGTCATTGAGCTTTATCTCGTCTCCAGGCCACCGCCCTCTCACTGGGTCTTTATCCTCTTCCCTGGCCTCCATCCCCCGGCTGAATCCACGCCCCATCACCAAACCCATCACCTCTCCAGGGTGCCATTTCTTCATGGGGTCCATGTCCCCTCTGCATGTTGTTGTTGAATAGATATCTAGCTGCATTTGTTAGATAGCAGACACTGTCACACGTGCTGAGAATACAGCAGTGAACAATTGAGACAGAGTTTTGTCTTCAAGGAGCTTACACTATCAGATGACAGGAGGGATGCAGGAAGTGAAGAAATAGTCCCTTTCTTACCATCTTGCCGGCCACCAAGACACAGACCCACAGAAAGTGCTGCCATGGGATGGTCTGGCTCAGATATTGTGGGAGTTTGGACCAGGAGAAGACCCAAGCGGGCGGATCCAGGAAGGTTTCCTGGAAGAAAAGTCATTTAGCTGGGTCTTGAAGAAGGAAGCAAATGAGGGCAGAAGCTGCCGGAAGAGGGTATTATGGGCAGGGACCCAGTGCAAATAAAGCTTCAGAGAAAGGACTACGGAGACCATCCGGGATGATAGTGAGGAGGTGGGGGTGGCTGGGGACAGAATGGGGGAGAATGGAGTAGGGCCAGATGGCGACAAGGCTCCAGTGCCAATCTCTGCAGTTTGGGCTGGAGTCTGAGGCCGTGGGGAGCGGTGGCAGTCTCTTGAGCAGGAGTGGGATGGAGGGTCGCAAAGTAAGAGGATGGAAGCAGGTGACTGGTCGTCTTTCGCTCTGCCCATCTCCACTAGGAATTCTGTGCGCCTGGTGATCAGGAAGGTTCAGTATGCCCCGGAGAGGCCTGGCCCCCAGCCCACAGCCGAGACTACCAGGCAGTTCTTGATGTCTGACAAGCCGCTGCATCTAGAGGCCTCGCTGGATAAGGAGGTAGGAGGCTCAAACTTGGCGGGGGGTGGGGGCTGCTCTGTTAGGGCTGCGTCTGCTCAGATCCCAGGACTTTTGTGGCCTCAGGACGCGTCAGGTAGGAGCTTCTGTCCCCAGCTCTAGGAGTACAGGGCTCAGGGGACCTGAGATTCCCTGGGGAATTCGAGGAACCCTCTTGGGACCAAATGTGGTGTCAGAAGAGGCATGATCCTGAAGGATGCGACTTACTGCAGAAATCAGTGACCTCTCGAAGGGTCCTGGGTCCTGGCAATGTCCCCGCCCCCACATCTAGCCTTGAGCTGTGAGCATCTCTTATAGTTCTCTGGGAACAGCTGAAAGCAAGTGCCTGGGGCAAGATTCAAGTTGAGGTCCTTCAGTGAGGATTCAGAGCTGGTTCCCTCAGTGAGTGGGCCAGTTCTTCCCCACCTTTCCCCTGCTTCTTCTAGATCCTCCTGTGTCTAAAATTCTAGGTGTCCAGAACTGGCAGGGACTTGATACATCATCCCCTAGTTCAGCTCCCCGGTCATACAGAGGGAAAAGTGAGGCTTACGAAGCCTTTCCAAGGTCACACCACTGTCATTCTCATGATTATTATTGTTGTTATCATTGTTTCTGGTGACCAAGCCAGGACTGGAGTGCAGGAATATCATCTTCTAGTTCAATTATATTTCAAGGTCCTAAAAAAGAACTGAAGTCTATCGCGCCTGGTGACTTAGCATCAGTGGGAAGTGGCTGATGAACTAGGGGCCAATATCAGAGTAGCCGAGGTCTGGGGAACCCCAGGAGGCGTGTGTGAAGCCTCTCCTGCCTCCCGCTCTCTAGACCTTGGTGTCCTCCCATCCAACCCTCCTCCCTTCTTACGCCCCCAGATCTATTACCACGGGGAACCCATCAGCGTCAACGTCCATGTCACCAACAACACCAACAAGACAGTGAAGAAGATCAAGATCTCGGGTACCCGCGGCAGAGGGCCTGCCCAGGGAGGGGGCAAGAGGGAACCCTCCCAAGGGGTAGGGGTAGCTGAAGGCACTCCTTTTTAACAGCCTTGTAAATAACTACTGGCCTGCAGGGAAGCCCAGGGCCTGCCCTAAGCCAAAGGGTAAGGCTTTTGAGGCTGCTTATTGGCCAGGTAATGAGTTCACTGTTTAATCCACCTCTTCTGAGGTTCCCTGAGTTCAGGGCAAAGCTGTCCTTGAGGGGAAGATTTTTTGGTCATGGAAGGGAGTGAGTGCGTTTGGGCTGCCCTTTGGGTGGAGGGTGGGGACGGTGTCCTGTAGAAGCCCCCAGTGGGCTCTGGCCATTGCCTGGGGCTAAACATCCCCAACCCAGGGGAGCCCGGGATGCCTGGGGGCTGCACCCCTGACTCGCCCCACCTCATTTCCCTCTTCCTCCCCAGTGCGCCAGTATGCAGACATCTGCCTTTTCAACACAGCCCAGTACAAGTGCCCCGTGGCCATGGAAGAGGCCGAGTAAGTGAGCATAAGCCCAGCCTGGACCGCGTGGGAATGTGTGGGGAAAGGAGGGGCCCTGGGTCCACTTACAGGCCCAGGAGCTGCTTCTCCACCCGGCAGAGGGCTGGGTCCCGATGTCGATGATCCTGAACAGGCTTTTAGAAAGTATTCCCTTGATTTAGCTACAAGAAAATGCATGCTGCCGTCAAGGAAAAGACCCACTAAAACGAGAATGACAAAATAAGCGCTAATGAATCTAAAGGGCCTGTGGTTGTAATGATACTGTATCAGAAACGTATACTGAAGGGAGGTGCTTTGCTCTGAGCTTCCCAGAAGCCAAGGCAAAGAGGTTAAGACACTAGGTACACAGTGTTTCTTGTCTGGTAAAAGAATAATCCAGCTCATTGGGTGATAGGGCTTGTGTGGGAGGGTAGAGAATTTTTTTTTTTTTTTTGAAGTCTAGATTTGGGGAGAGCTACTATGATTGAGCATGGAACTTTGTTCTAAGCTTGTTAGCAGCCAAGGAAATGAGAGATCTCAAGTGAAACGTACTTTTCTCACCGAAAGGAAGTAGATGCCCCTATTAAAAGACACACTTGGTATTATTTTTGAGCAGTTACATTTCATTTATTTTTTCTATCTATCTGTGTTTATTAACATGTAATAATGCTCAGCATTTTTGCAACTAAAAAAACTAAAACAATTTTTTTACAGTGTTACTACGTGCTCTTTGAGATGTCCTGGCTAGGCTGGGGTTGGCTCTGGGCACAGGCACATTTCTACACCTGCCTCTCTTCTTCCCAGTGACACAGTGGCCCCCAGCTCAACGTTCTGCAAGGTCTACACGCTGACCCCCTTCCTGGCCAACAATCGGGAGAAGCGGGGCCTCGCCCTGGATGGGAAGCTCAAGCACGAAGACACAAACCTGGCCTCCAGCACCCTGTGAGGACTCGCCCTCCCTCCTCCCAGGCTCTGGAATGTTCACCCTGTCCCCACGCAGCCACACCTGCCTTGGTCCCACCAGTGCCCGCACAAGGCATGGGTTCCCCTCTTCCCCAGCGTTGCCCAGGGTCCATCGTCGGGAGCTTAAACGGCCGGGGAAGCTGTCCCTTTATTCCCACCACTATCCATGAACAACCCCAACGACTTGCTGGACCCTAGAGCCCTGTCCCTTAGTCAGTGCTGGGCGCCGCTGGCTTGCCTGAGGGAGAGCAGCCTGGAAAGGCTTCCTGCCCGAGGCAGCCAGTCCTGACCTAGTGTCTCCAGTCGGACGGGGTTTGTCCCTGAGGCACAGTGAGGCATGAAGGGTGGGAGCGGCTCCTCAAATGGTCTTAGCAAGAGAGGAGGAATCGTGAGGGGGTTGGGGAGTCTGCAGAGACGAGGGCAGAGGTGGGGTGCCCCTCAAAGGCAGGGGTTCCAGGGCCATACGGCCATTCCTCTCCAAGTTCCCGCCCCCTGAGGGCAGATCTTGCCTTTCTCACGCGCTACCCCCTGCTTGCTTGTGGTGGCAGAGCGCTCCAGGAGAGGGACGGATGGCCTCTGCCCCCCACCGCACCCCTCCCTGCCATGTCTTGCCCACCCAGGGAACTCCCATGAACCGGCTTCCCTGTGTTGCCTTGCAGGTTGAGGGAAGGAGCCAACAGAGAGATCCTGGGCATCATCGTTTCCTACAAAGTGAAAGTGAAGCTGGTGGTGTCTCGGGGCGGGTGAGTGGCTGGTCCAGCCCAGGCCTCTAAGTCCAGGGGCAGTGCCCCTAACCACCTGCAGCCTGCCACCCCCTTCTGCCTGTTTGCTGGACTTTTTAGCTGCATCCACCCTGAGGGTAAACCAAGCTCGAGGACTTCCTTTTCCGCCTCTTCTTCCTTCCTGCTTCTCTTCCTCCTCCTCTACCTGCTCACTCTCTTGCTTCAGACGCCTTCAGCCCCAACCTTGTTCCTCCCATCTTTCCCTCCTTCCTCTTCCCTGTCCGCGCCCCCATTCTGGGCACGTGGGTGGGGGGAGGCTTCCCAGAGTCTGTCCTGTGGGGTGTCCAGGGGGCCCTGTGGCCCTCCTCATGCCGCGGGCACGGCGCCCACCCCGACTCATGCCCATGCTGATCTGCTGGGGACATGGCTAAGGGGGCTGAGGATCCCACCGCTGGACTGGGGGTGTTCTGACTCTCCCATTTCACAGATGCAGAGAAAGAGGCCCATACAGTCCTCCAGACATTTCCTGCAGTCTCCTCCCCTAGTCTCAGGTCACACAGGCCGGGAGCTAGGGGCACGGCTGTGGACCCGCCGCAGTCCTGCAGCTCAGTCTGGTGGAGGGAGGCTCAGAAAGGGCTACTTCCCCCCATATTGTTGTTCTAAACCTAGAATTGGGATTTCTAATTTGTCACAGGGATTTTTTTTCTAAGCTGCATGTTTGTACAAAAAGATTAGAAAGCTAACTGCATTAGGTATTATGAGAATCGCCTCATGCAGGTTGGCAGCATGTAGCACTGACCACCTATTATAGGGTGTCTCAGAACTGCAAACCCCAGCTCCCATGGCCTGTGGCTCTTGCACCACCCAGCCTGCCTCAGGCTGCTGCTTCCTGGAGAAGTCCTCGGTGAATCCCAAACTGCTTCCTCCATTAGATGGGCCTCCCAGGAGAGGCAGCACCCCCCTCCCTGGGAAAGGCTAACGCCATGTCCATGTGCCCATGAACGGGCAGTAATGGCCGTGCAGGGGGTGGGTGAGAGTGTGTCCCAGGGTCTTCTTGACCTACCGGCAGCACAGGTGGTGAATGAACATGCTTTCTGTTTTCTTCCTCTCTGAACTCTCTCCTGACCACTTCTCCCGCCTCCTCTGACCTACCCAGCCTGTTGGGAGACCTTGCGTGCAGGTAAAATCCCTCCCTTCGACCTGATTGACCCACCTCCCAGAACTACAGGGCACTGGGTTAGAAGGAATCTTATGGGTCACTTCGGATTGCCAGGCTCAGGCATGCGCTGGGACTAGAACCCTCTCCTGAGGGACCAAGGGGATGCAGTTTTTCTTTGAAAAACCTCACCCTGTTGTAGCATTGCACCCAAGTGACAAGGACCTTTGCAGACAGCAAAGCTGGCTTTACTGATCTAGGGAGTAGCCCCCAATTAGTCTGAATTATAGAATGTTTTGGAGAAATGTCAGCTTCATGGCTTTCAGACTTCTGTGCTAATGAGAACTAACAGCTGGCCGAGTGTTGCTAAGGAGAGGTCCTGTGGAGATCTGCTTTTGTTGACCAGATTCCCTTGTAGTCAGCTGGATCCACATACATTCCAAAAATGCGCATGCCCCCCACACAGTGGTTTTGTCTCCTTCTGTCACAAGATGGCAGTATTACTTATTGATCCCAAGAAATCAGTCAGTTTGGACTGAGGTGTAATTCAATTCAGTTCAGCTCAATTAAATGTATTTCAGCAAAGATTTCCTGAACCCAGCCTTGTGCCCAGCCTTGTGCTGGTTGCTGCCGTTCCAGCGGGGGATCAGACAGAGCCCCTGCCCTTGATCGCTTATGGCCTGGGGGAAGGTTAAGGTCCAGGTTCTTCCATCTGTAGCCTGTACGGCTTTAGGGAAGGTTGGGAAACTGAATCTTCCACCAGCTTCTGTCCTAAGAGCTCACTCTTCCAAGTGGACTTGGAAAAGCAATCCTCTTTGGAAGCAAAAAGAGGAAAAAAGAAGCACATTGTTTCAACAGCCTAGGAATCCTCCTTGTTCCTACTACAGGGAAGTCACAATTCTGGCAGGTGCAAGCTTCACAATGCAACCGAGCCTTTTACCTGCATCATCTCCTGGAAGTTCTAGGGGTTCTAGAACGTAGGTGTTGTTATCTCCATTTTCCAGATGAGCTCAGTAGGACTTGAGGATGTGAAGCGCTCCCAAGTGTGTGGTGAGGCTTGCGGAACAGACCTTTCTTCTTGCCTGTCCCCTCTGCGCTCCTGTCCCTTCCTTTCTCCCACTGGGGCCCTGGGCAGCAAGGTCAGGAAGATGGGGACCTGCCTGGCAGCACTCATAGTTAGCAGGGCCTCCTCAGGCTGAGGGGAGGAGCTTTCAGGGCTGCTTTTGTAAGAGTGGAGAGCAGAGGGTGGGTGGGAATCGCCTCAGTTCTGAGCTGTTATCACTCAGTGGTTCAGGGAGTCAGAAGCCTGTCTGTCACTTCCCATGAATAGCTGTGTGCCCTTGGGGAAGATACCTTTTGTTCTTGTGCCTCAATTTCCCAATCTGTACATTGGGTGTAATAACAGCTCATGAAGATTAGAGTAGCTCTAGGATAGCCCCTGGCACAGAGTCAGCGCCATGTAAGTATCTGGTCTTGTTATTTTTCTGTCAGAAGCACTGGCTGGTGGCAGCCCCTCCCCGGTCCTCCCCACTAGCCCACCCTCCGTCCCCTTGCGGCCGGCAGCCTCTGTGCATGCTGTGGACAGCCCCAGGGCCTGGGGCCCATCCAGATGCAGTTTGATTGAACTGACCTCAGCAGTGCGGGATGGCAGGAGGCCAGGGCCACCTGTGCCCTTTTGCAGGAACCTCCTGGAGATGCTGGGAGATGGGACGTGGTGAGGGTGGGGGAAGTCCCAACGGGGAAGTTGGGAAGGGCTGTGTCAGGAAAGGCTGGGCTGGCTGTGGCGACCTGAGGTTGGCAGGATCCCTTGGCACCTCTGGAACTACCAGTGACCAAGATGCACACACCGTCCTGGGCAACCCTTTCCCCACCCCTATGCCTCCTCCCAGCTTGTGGGCATCCAGGGATCCTTCCGAGGAAACAGGTGGTTGCTATTCTTTTTGGAGCCAGGATAAGAGGTCTCCTAGTTCAACTCCACGGAAAACTGAGGCTCGGAGGATGGCGGAACCAGGGTTTGAGGCCGGATTTCCTACCTCGCAGCCCAGAGCTCTCTTCTGACCATATGACCCTCCCCAGTCCTCACACTGACAGGGCACAGAGTCTCTCAGCCAGAGGCTGGGCTCAAGGCTCACCGGGTCTGGGTCTCTGTTTCAGTGATGTGGCCGTGGAACTGCCCTTCACCCTAATGCACCCGAAGCCCAAAGAGGAGCCCCCACATCGAGAAGGTGAGTGGGATCTGGGGGTTACTGGGGTGGGGCTTCCAGATAGCCAACCCCCTTCTCCACCAGCTGCTGTTTCCGCATCACCCCACCTCCCTCTGGGTCAGCCGTCAGCCCAGAGTCACCCCTCTTCCCCGACTCCCCAGGGTCTTTTGTGAGACCCATACTCCTAGTGACCTCTAACCCCCCAGGAGACAGACAGGCCTGGCTGTGTTCTCTGTGGGGATGGGTGGGGGGGTGGAGGCTGGGAGCGGAGGGGTGCCTACTGGCCGTGCTTGGAACCCTTGTCTGGCATCCAGATGTAGGGGAAAGGGCTACCTGGATAAGATGGCCCCTGGACACACCAGCCCCATAATTTTTCCAAGTGATACTAGATTGCTCATACTTCATTAAATCTAAGAGTATTTCAGTCAAAAGAGACAGTATAGTTTGTAACACAAAGAAAGAAAAATGTTCCCACAATTGAACTATGCAATGCCATTGACTGTAAAAATACCCAAAGTTCAGAGGTGTGAAAATGTGAAAAATCGTTGTTGTAGAGTTAGTAAAAGTCAGGCATGCAAGAAATGAATCTAAGCCACATTGGAAGTGTGCCAAAAGGAGCAGGGTCCAGAGGCTCTCCTAGTTGCCTGGGGCTATGGTGGGCCTCCGCGACTCTCCCTGAGCCCTCCAGCCTGCCTTTCGGATGATCTGGGGTATTACTGAGTCCAGGAACCAGCCTTCCATCCCACCTCCCTTTTCCTTTGCCGTCCTCATCTTAGCGTGGTTATTCCAGGGCGGGGACCTATGCCCCCCTACCCACTCACCACTAACCCATGGGCGCCTGCCCACCCTGTGTTCAGTTCCAGAGAACGAGACACCAGTAGATACCAATCTCATAGAACTTGACACAAAGTAAGCCAAACTCTGCCCGCTGGGGGGGGTGGGGGGTGGGGGTGGGGGTGGGGGTGGGGGGACAGCCTCGGAAGGTGGGTGGGGCAACAGGGTTGTTTGCATATATGCTTATTAATCCCTGACAAGCAGCTGGGCTAACCCCGCCTGCTGAGAGCTGTCTTTGCTCGCCTCTTCAGCAACCCGCTTGCCTGCATGTGACTTGAAGGACCCTCCGTGCCTGTTCCTCTTCCTCCTGCCTTGGTGGGGTCTGTCTTCCTCCCTCATCCTTGCACGTCCGCCAGTCCGTCCACAGCACCTGCTCAGCTCACACAGGGCTGGTTCGTGTTCCTGGGCTGGGGCTCTCCTGCCCTGCCCGGGCCCAACCAGTGAATCAAGCTGTGGGGTGGGGAAGGTTCTGGGGATCTTATTGCCTCTGATTCCTGAGGACTGATGCGGATTTGCCTATGGCCAAAAGCCATTGGCTCACTGAACAGTGGCCAGAGGGGGAGGACCTGGGCTGACATCACAGACCACCTCCAGGGCAAACCAGCTTTCTCGCTTCAGCTCCAAATCCACCCTTCCCTTCTGTCCCAGGAGATTTTTGGGATCTGGGGTCCCAAGTCATGCCACGAGGACACCCCACACAGCTGGCTGAATTCTGGGAGACAGGGGACTTGAGTGGGCCTAAGTGGACGTGTTCATGATAGAAGGGAACTCATTGTTCTTGGAAGCAGTCCTTAGTCCTGAAGCCCACTCAGGCACCCCCTTTGCCCACCCCACCCTTCCTCGGCCCCCCCATTTAGACTTGCACCAACCCCTTCCTCTCCAAGATCCCGCAGGGTAGAATGCGAGCTGACCCTTTCCTGGAGCAAGGGCCTTCACGGTTCTCTCTTCCAGTGAGCAAAGCCCACTCCCTTCTGTGCAGAAGCTGAAATGCTTCCTGACAGTAGCTCTTACGGCAGGTGGCCGGTGTTTCTTGCGCCTGTTCTTGGGGGATTCAGAATATGCCATGAAACCACCGGTGGCCTGGCCTCTCAGAGCGGGAATAAGTTCTTCCTCCAGCCCCAGCCCGGCCTCACCTCCACCCCTTCCAGCACCCCTGAACCCCTCAAGAACCAGATCACTTTTCAGCCCTTAGGCGTGAAAAGCAAACTTAGGCCTTCCTCTGGTATTTCCACCCTTGGCTGGAGGCCACATGTGACCAGTCCTCCTGTCACTGGTGGGTGTCCAGATGTGCCAGCCTGGCAGGCCTCTCTGCCCAAGGTCAGCCCCTCCGGCCGAGTCCCATCGGCAGGCAAGCCCCCTAACCCCTCTGAATAAGCCTACTCGCCCTGCCCTGCAAATGCCCCTCGTTTTCCTTGTCTTTCCCACCAGCGACGACGACATTGTGTTTGAGGACTTTGCCCGTCAGAGACTGAAAGGCATGAAGGATGACAAGGAAGAGGAGGAGGACGGTACTGGCTCTCCACGGCTCAACGACAGATAGACTGGAGCCGGCCCGCCCCGGGCAGCTCCGGGTCCTCTCTCCTGCTCCAGGCTGTTCATTTGTCTTCTTCCTCTTCTGGTGCCCCCTCCCCTTTGTTCTTCCAGTTTCTACTAGGGGGCCCAGCGGTCTTCCAGGTTGTGGTGGTGAACCTCTGGCCTCAGGCTGGGCCCCGCGTCCCCATGCCAACAGGGCCACGTGCACCGCCATCACCCTCTCATTGCAGTCACCTCTTCATTCCCCCTCTCTTCCTGCTGATCCCCAGAAAGGCCACCATGGCTCTGGCCTTGGAATTTGGCCTGGGCTGGGGAGAGGGGGGAGGATAAGGCGCAGGGCTTGGAAGGGTGGGGATGAGGGGTCAAGACGCGTGAGGGAATGTCCACAGTCCCAGGCGGATAATACAGTCTGGCAGCTAAAAGATGACCGTGTCGAAGGTCCCCCTCTTCTGGCTGGGCGGGCAGACCGTGGATGGATTCTCAACACCTTTTTGCAGCTCTGACCCACTAAACAGCTTTCCCCTTCTACACCCGTCCCTGCTCCATGCCCCTCTGTGTCTGACAGTGACATTGGTGTAAACCCCAGGAGTGGAGAAAAGCAACTGGACTTTCTTACCAGCAGTGACCTAGACTAAGGCAAGCTGTGTGAGCTACTAACCTAAGTCTTTTTCAGTATTGTCAGGATATAATCTCCTAGCGACCTTATATCTTATGCGTGTTGTCCTATGTGTTACTATGCACAGAAAGAGAAAGTCAGGAAGGGTCTTTAGAAAGTACGCCTCCTCCCCTCCCCCTTCCGGGCAGGATGAGCTGAAGCACCAAAGGAGGTTTCCTGAAGGGCAGCTCTAAGAGGTGGGTGCAGAGGCTGGAAGGGGAGAACCTGCCCTGCTCCCTTCATTTGTGGATGTGCAGTTGGTGGGCCCATGGGAAGTGAGGCTGGAAGTCCAGAGGGTCTAGGGACAGTGGTGTCCTCCTTCCTCCCCTTGTAGTTCTTCAGGGCTGGGCTGGACTGGCCTGCAGGCTGGGAGAGAGTGCCTCAGGCCACCATACCCACAGGAAAAGGGGTCCTCCCTCAGAAGGTGGCAGGGTCCGTTGGGATGGCCTCACCTAAAAGGTAGGGGGCTAGTAGGTAGCAAGGAACTCTTTGTTTCCGTGGGGAGTCGATGACCCCCCCAGCAGTTCGCAGAGCCATGGGGACCCAGAACCCATTGGCTGATGTTTGTGATTGACCTCTGGGGTGTTTCCAGGGCAACAGGGCAGGCAGGTGATGAGGTAGAAAGTGTTTCAAGGTTTCTGTTGTCGTCTGGTCTTTGCTGCTCACTTACTGTGTGTCCTTGGACAAGTTCCTTTCCCTTTCTGGGCCTCAGTTTTTCACCTAGAAAACCAAAGGATTTGACCTGATGATAACAAGGGCCCTCCCAGTTCTGTCCTCCAAGAACTTGTGAACATTAAAGTGTCTGGTTTAGTGGCTGGAGCCAGAGACGCTGACTCTGTTCTGGCTGCCTCCAGAGGGGATGCACTCATAAGACCCTGGAGGTGTCGGGGCCATGGAGAGCTCTACTTCCCCACTGCAGGCCCGGGACGGACGCTTCTTGGGCCTCTGGCGGGTTGCCTGATGTCAAGGTATGGCCATAGCTAGCATGAGCTGCTCGGCCCTGGGGCCTCAGTATTATGAAAGGACAGAGCTTGTATTTGCTGAGCCTTCAGGGAGAGGGGAGTGGAGGGGCGCTGTGATAGATAGGGCCTCCAATAACTCACAGCCCCTTGTGGATGCAGACACCTGAGGTTTACCTTATACCCAAGCAAGAATATTGATTTATGGAGCAAGAGGCTCTCTCCTCAGTCCCTTCTTCCTTCTCTCTCTAGCCCATACTTCCCTGAAAAGGGAGACAACAAATTTTATTATACAAGTTGAATCTCAACACTTTTCAGTCCAGCCCTTCCTGGGGTGGACTGGGCAGCTGTTTTCCATGGTGAGATTACCAGCTCCCATGCCTGGCACTGCATCAAGCCTATCCCTTCTGCCTCTCATGAAGACTCAATCCGAGGGACCCCTACTCAGGTGAGAATCAAGTCAGTTCAGACAGTCACACTCCCCTGGCCAGTCCTGGGGTCCTGGCTGCAGGTGCCCTGGGCATCAAGCCCCTACCAGAGCTTGCTGGGCAGTTTGCACTTCATTTGGGCAGCTGTGGAGCTGATGAAATGCTGGAACAACACACTCCAAGCGTGTGGTCTCCAGGGTCTTCCTCTGGAACCTTTGAAGCTGGTATAAGACCCTTTACAATTTGGGGTGATCACTCCTGTCCACACCTCCTCCCCCATCCCTAACCTGTGCACACAAAAGGCTTTCCACTGGTTTCCTGAGCTTCCACCCCTTCAACATCTCCCTCAGCCTTTTGGGCTTGTCCCAGTGGTTTCCTGAAATTTCTCCAGCTTCAGGAAGCATCATAGCCCCATCTAGCCTTTTACTCTTTGGGTGAAGGGCTGCAGAAGGGCAATGATCATGTTCATTTGAATTTGGCTTAACCATCCTTGGCTGATACCTTAATTGCTCAGTGCCCAGCACTGGAGACACGGAGATGGGTCAGTCCCAGGCCCTGTCCTCAGGAAGCTCATGGTCAGGGGAAAGGCTTAGGGGAGGTCACGGGGGAAGGACGGGGCCATTTTATTCACGACTCCAGGGCTGCTCCTAGTCCATATAGTGCCTTGATGTGAATCAGAAACGGTTCCCCTTCCAGGTGGACTCTGCCCACAGTAGAATGTACAGTTTTGTGAATGGTGCCTAAGCTGGAGTTTAGCCCTACTGGCCCCTGGGCTGGGCGCCCCCTGCAAGCCATGGGCTGCATCTCAGGGGCACTCAGACCAGTATTTCCTATGGTGTCTCCCTGAGGGAAAGGCCCAGATCATCTTCCTGAGCCTCTGGTTGGCTCTAGCCCCTTGCGGCGCCCAAACGTGGCTGAGTCCCTCTCTGCAGAGCGCCTCTCCATCCGGAGTCCTGTGAGACCTTGGAGTGAAACGGGGTTGGGAGGTCCTACTGGGTGCCAGGCACTGGCCCACAGTGTCAGTTCTTTCTGTGCACACAGTTGGGGCCTGTGCTAACCGCATAATGCCACACTGGGGGCTCTTCAGTGGGCCGCGAGGTAGCATTTTAGGGCGGAAGGAGGACCGTGGCCCTGAGTGAAAATCCCCAGGCAGAGGGCCAGCTGGGCTCCTCAGCATTGCAACTATGAGAAGAGTCAGCCCCAGTGAGCCTTAGGAACCTTAGGCTCACGTGGGGTATTGTTTCGACTGGGGGAGTCGCTGACAAGCTGGTTCCCACATGGTGCTGTGAAAAGCACGCTGGCCTGGAAGCCCACGGTGCCTGTCCGTTCTGACTGTCATCAACCAGCTGAGCAAGTCACTCAACCTTTTGGGCTTGGTGTCCATGACTGTAAAGTGGGACAGCAATCCCTTCCCCACTTCGTCAAGGAACTGTGAGGCCCAGATGGACGGAAGTCAGGAGACATGACAGTCAGCCCTGTAAATTGCAAATGGCGACACAGACCATGGCCCTGCCCCTGCAGGGGAGCGGCTCAAGGTCACACAGGAAGTTTGCTGTGGGCTGAGCCCTCCTCCCACGGGTCATCTCACGTAGGCAGATGTCAACTGGCAAGAAGGAGATGTAGCCAGGTCGGCTTTGGTGACCCAGCTGAGGGGAAAATGGAGACTATTCAAATGCCATGCCCACAGATAATGGTCCCAGCAAGCAGGACAGAGAGACAAAACATGGATATGGTCAGGGATTGGGGCTCCGGTCCCAGGTTAGTGAGAAGCCCCAGCCCCAGGCCCTGAATCAGTGCCCCATCAAAGAACCCAGGGGGCACGTGGAATAGAAATTGCCTGCTCCTTCCCTTCAAAGTACAAGGCCCTTTCCGGTGTCAACAGGAACTGCCAAGACTTTTTGATGATACTTGGGACGTATTTGGGCTTGGGGAAAACCCAGGTCTCTTACACACAGAGCTCAGCCCCAGCTGACCTCTCCCCCATGGTTTCAGCAGCCCACAAAGGCAGCTTCTCTCCTGCCAGTGACAGGGGATGGGACATTCTCCACCCATCCCGGAGGAAGACATTAGGCCCCCGTCTTGAATGCTTTTAGGATCTCATGGTCATAGGCCTATGCCTGTTCCGATGTTTTCTTTTTAAAGTCAACAAGGACCAAAACAGACTCCCCCACCCTTGTGCGCAAGCCTGTGTCTTGGCCCGGGCAGCTCCATCACTTTGTTCTCCCTCCAGAACTGAAATGGCCTACCCGTGGGGCCAGGAATTCCACCCCTGGCCCCCCCCCGCGGGGTCACTGCACAGCGGCTTCAAAGAGAGGCCTTGTGAAGGGGGAGCATCCTTCCCTATCCCTCTCTCCCAACCTTTTACCCTGAGAGGGAAGTCAAAGCACAGGTCCCCAGGACCCATGATCTGTAGACACTCTGACACAGTGGTTTTCAAACCAGGTGCTGTGGACCCCTGGTGTTCCACAGAGCTTTGTCAGGAGCTGCTAAAGTGGGAAGGGAGGGATGGAGGCATAGGATAGGTCTCCAGCCCTCCGCCCATCCCCACTTCCACCAGGACAACTCTGCTTTTATCTGTCTTGCCCATGGAAGTTTCACTTTCAGACTTTCTTTTGAAGAAAAAAATCCTTCGAACCACCATTCAGAGGTGGTCGATGTTAGACCAGCAAGCACAGGTCAGGTTCTCTTCTTGCTTTTCATGCTGGAATGACTCTAGCGTTCCAATACAAAGTATCTTTGTACTGGAACTTAGGTCACAGACCATTTGCTTACACACACACACACACACACACACACACACACACACACTCGATGATTTTGTAGCCCCCACCCTGAAGCCTGGGCCTAGATTTCATTTGGGCAGCGGCCTGGTGCTCAGTGACAATGGGTCCTGACCCCGACATCGGCCCGTGCAGTGTGGGGGCCAGCAGAGTGAGGGAACAGGCCCAGCCCTCACCCTAGAACTCGAGTCTGTGTCCCCACAGGACACCCAGTGCTCCTGGCCCAGGTACATGGGATGACAGAAGGAACAATGTGATGGGAGGAGAAACTAGAGTCAGGTTCCTTTTTACAGAGAGACAGATCGATGGGAGTCCAGTTGTCATAAAAGAAATGCTGAGGCAGGACCTCATAGCAAAAGTGCCTCCTGTGAGGGCAGGATCTGCCCAGAGACTTTTTAGGCAGCAAGCTTCCCTCGAGCAATTCTAACAGGATCCCATTCCCATGTCTGTGGGCAGTCGAGTGTGTGGGCCACAGGAGGGTGCCTGAAGGGAGGCTGGTGCCCCACCCATGCATGAAAAGTAGTCTCCTGAATTCTCTCCCTGCCAGCCTGTCCCTTTGCCTAGATCCCTCATCAGGGCTGAGGGTGGGCACTTTGGTGAGATCTGGACCAGCCCTTGACACAGAATCCTGCATTGCCCCCAGCCTGGGCATTCTAAGTGAAAAGGTGAGGTTTAGGGCACTGCAAGCCACGGGGCGTGGAAGAAAGTGTGCCAACTGGTTCTCTACGCTCAGTCCCAGTGCGCCCGTGGAACCCACTGACATCAGTTTCTCCATGTGTAATGTGGGGCTAGTGCCAGGCTCTGCCCACCTCGCAGGACTTGCTACTGCAAGGATCATAGGAGAGATGGGTATGAGAGGTGTTTTCACATGAGAAGTGGGAGCCCTATAAACTCGGGGTGCGAGCATGGCCTGCACCGCAGATCGGCAGAGCACTCAAGGGAACAAGTGCAGGATGCGCACTCCTACTAGAACGTCTCTACACTGTGGGGCCAGCCAAAGACATGGGTTGGGGGACACCTCTTCCTACTCAATGGGAGCCGGCGCTCAGCCTGGTACACTGACTGTGTGTGCACGTCCCGGGTGTGGGGAGTGGCCGGTGGCTGGGACAGCTCTCTGGGTCTGTGGCCCCTCTGTGAAGTGATTATTTTGTGACACCCTCATTCCTGGGCCATCTGCCAGGTTTATTTGTTGTACCTGTGTCATTCCTTATTATCTCAGATAAGTTATTACAGTTCATTCAACTCTAACAGGACAGTGAACAAAAGAACCATAAGTAGGTGGCCATTAAAGGTCTTTTGTGACAGGTGCTGGCTGTGCTTTTATTTCTGTCTCAAAAACCCCTGGCGGGACAGGGACCAGCAAATGCTGCCCCCGATGCCTGGACGGGTAGAAAGGGCCCATGGCTGGGTCAGGTGTCCCTCCCCCTGTCTGTGGTCCCACACCCAACCTGTTTGCTGCGCCCCGTTCTGGAGACTGCCAAGAAGCTTCCTCCTCCCCCTTCTGCCATTTACCAGCCTATGGCCTTGGGGAAGTTGCCACAACTCTGATCCCTCTCAGACACCACTGGATCCCGTTACCCCTGGTTTGCTCCTGGGGTGGAGCCATCCCAACTTCTGGCGCCACTGACCCCTTCCGCTGAAGTCCTGCCCCAATTCCAGCCCCAATTTATGTTCAGTTCTCCGTTCCTGCTCTGCTGGACCTTCCCAAAGCCACTCCTGTTTTTCACAACTTGCCCTCTGACTTTTCTAAAAGAACACATGGGAGGAGTGAGGATGTGGGTGCAAAAGATTTGAAGTTCTAAATGGTACTGTACTGTATTAACACAGAAGGAACATGCTGATGAATATACGACAACTTTCCTAGAAAATGGATCCTATATGAAAGACAAATTTTTACATTCCTGTAAAACAATGTGCAACTTAGAGCAAAGCATTGCCCTCCTGTTGACAAGAAGGTGGTCTGTTTCCTGATGCCCCTCCCAGCCGAGAAGGGCAGCAGGAAGATACTGACATTTGAATTAGGAGGCTTGAGCTGGGGTTTTCGTTCTGCCCTCCCATACGGACTAGATCAGTCTGAGTCCAGATAACCAACACCTATGCCAGTATTTCAGTAGCAGGAATTTAATGGAAGAAACTGGTTATAAAAATGTTGCGAGAGCTGAAAGGGTCAATGGGATGTGAGGCAACCCAGAGATCAGGTATAACAGGAAACCACAACACCTGTGTGGTGGAAGCGCAGGGAGAGGAGGTGGTCTTACGGAGCTGAGGAACCAGGGCAGCCCAGCAGGGGCATTGGGGGAGAGGGTATCTGAGGCATCTTAACCACAGAGGGAACAGCTACTGCTGGGGATGCTGCCCAAAGCAAGAGAGTGGGAGAAATACTCTGGTTTCTCCTCTCCTCCTGCCCTCCAGTTTCCTGTGTGTGCCTCCTATTGGCTGAAGCTAATTTTCAAGGAATCTTTGGACATGTAGTTTGCGATGATCAGTGCCCTGTAGTACTGAGCGGGTAAAGGTCAGGGGATTAGATGGGAGACCAAATAGGCAAATCACCAGCTCTCCCTTAATCTTCTCATCTAGGAAATAGAAATAATCATGTTCGTCTGGATATCACAGTGTAGAAGGAGGGCCTGGCATCTCATCAGGATTCTAAATGCCAGAGAGGTACTTGCTGCTGCCTCTTAGCTTTGGGCTTTCCTCCTGCCATAGCTGCCTTCACAGTGCTTTGGGGTTTCGTTTATCTAGCTTTTTGAAACTCTAGCAAATCAAAATGAACTGCGTAGGCATTTCAAATTCTTGCCAAGACAGGCTAAGTCTGCTATAGCTTGTCTCTCCTACTGATTACATAAACACTGGACAAAAATGCAAAACAACTACCTAATGACTCTGAAAATTAAACAAAAGCAGGAAGATGGTGCAGGGGAGTCAAAACTTGGAGAAGTAATCTGGGTAAATTTCCCTTTCCTATTTTCTCCTGTGGATTTGTGCTGAAGTTAGAACCACCAGCAACAGAAGCTGAGACAGAACTTAGGGTCTGAACCTAAATTAGGTGATTACCTCTAAACGTAACAACAAAATTAACATTCTACAAAGGATTATAACAGGACTGAGTCTACACAATATTACATTCACAATGTCTAGGGTACAATCTGAAGTTATTCAACAAACAAAAACCCAGCAAAATGACCAATTCTCAAGGGAAAAATACAATGAACACATGCCAACTCTAAGATGACTTAGATGCTGTAATTATTAGAAAAGATTCTGAAGTAGCTGTTAGAACTTGAAAGTGATGGAAAGATAGTTGTTCTCAACAGAAATGCAGAAACTAAAAAATGAGCCAAATGGAATTTTTAGGACTGAAAAATAAAATATCTGAAATAAAAATCACTGGAAGGTGGCAGAGGAAGAGTCAATGAACTCAAAGGTAGATAAGTATAAATTATTCAATCTGAAAAACAGAGGAAAACAAGATTGAAAAAATTAAGATATTGCTGCAGAAGAAAAATTGCATGAAAGGTATAAATTCACAAATTCAAGAAGCTGAGCAAATCCCAGACTCAAAGAAAACCATATGATACACATAACCAAACAGCTGAAAACCAAAAATAAATGGTAATATATTGAAAGCAGCTAGAGAAAGTGACACATTCTTGTATGTTCTTCCATACAAAGAATGATGATTTGATGCAGCTTTCTCAACAGAAAACATGGAGGCCAGAAGAAAGTGGAACAACATCTTTAAAGTGCTGAAAGAAAAAGAATTATTGACCCAGAATTCTGTAACTAAGGAAAATATCCTTCAAGAATGATGGAAAGTAAAGAGATTCTCAGGAGAAGAGAATGTAAGAGAATTTGCCACCAGAAGATGTACAATAAAAGTAAATAAATAAAAGAAATTCTTTAGGTTGAAAGGAAATGATGCCAGAGATAAACCTTCATCTCCAGGAATTAAGACAAACACAAATGGCAATTATTTGGGTAAATATAAAAGGCTACACTGGTCATCCTGAGTTCTTTAAATATGTGTAACTTGAAAGAAAAAATTATAAATTGATAAGGATATCAGTGTATATAAAGGGAACACATATGACAACTATACTGTAAAAATTAGTGGGGGGAAGATAAAGAGACCTATTTGTAAGACTTCTGTATTATACTTGAAGTAATCAAATATTAATCCTAAGTATACTATGAAAGGTTATATATGTATATTGTCATTCCTAGAGCAACAAATAAAAGAGTCAAAAATATAGATAAATTAAAATGACATACTGAAAAATATTCAAATATTCCAAAAGAAGGCAGGAAAGTTGGAACAACAGAAGAAAAAAAAAAAACAGGAGAGACAAACAAAAAATAAAAGAGGTAGGCCTAAATTCAACCACATCAATAACTGTATTAAATGTAAATGGCCTAAACATAATTAAAAGGCAGAGGGTGTCAGACTGGATTAAAAAAAAAACAAGATCCAATTATATTCTGTCTAGGAGAAACCCAGTTTAAATATAAAGGCAAAGCCCTGGCTGGTGTGGCTCAGTGGATTGAAAGGCCATGGGTTCAATTCCCAGTCAGGGCACATGCCTGAGTTGCAGGTCTGGTTCTCAGTTGGGGACATGAGAGAGACAACCACTCATGTATCTCTCACACATTGATGTTTCTCTCCCTTTCTTTCTCCCTTCCTTCTTCTCTCTGAAAGTAAATAAATAAAGTCTTGAAAAATATATACGAAGATAAATTAAAAGTAAAATTATGGAAAAGGTTAACTGTATAAACAATAATAAAAAGGAAAGCTTAAGTGGTTGTATTAATATCAGACAAAGTAGAGTGCAGAACAAGGACTGTTACCCAGGATAAAGAGGAACATAATATAAAAAGTAAAAGTGTCAACTTACCAAGAAGATGTAACAATTCTAAATGTATATGCATCTAGTAATGAATGCATCTAAATGTACATGCGTACTTGAAGCAAAACCTGATGAACCAAAAGGTTTTGGTTCATACGAATCCACAA